CGTAGCACGTGCAAAACGTGTATGCGCTTTTTCTCCTACCGTTGTGCCCCCTCCGTTCAAGATGTCAACGTGTACACATAACATGATAGTAATTTTAACAACTTTTGCTAGTGATGGGGGGGGGAAAAGAACAGCAGATATTGTTGCGTACAGGGTAATCATTGCCGTGTACCGTATTCACATTTAATAGACTATTCCCGAATTTTACTTATTTTGCAAGGGCGGTCGGGTAGCCTAGTGGTTAAAGCGTTCGCTCGTCACGCCGAAGACCTAGGTTCGATTCCGACATGGGTACAATGTGTGAAGCCCAATTCTGGTATCCCCCGCCGTGATATTGCTGGAATATTGCTAAAAGCGGCGTAAAACAATACTCACTCACTCACCACCTATTTTGCAATTCATCGTACTCATTTGGAGTCAAACGGACTGTAGTTCACAAACTACCTGTCCTCGTTTAACTTAAAATTAAAATAAAGCAATTAAGACATACAGATGGTATACCTGCATTTCTGTTCAACAAATTTTTAAATGAGCCGATCCTTAACAAAGTACAAATTAATAATTGTTTTATTTGAAAAAATAGAACTGTTTCTTTTTTTTATTTCTCCGCCTCCCTCTAACTTATAATTGTGCTAAGTTTTGGCGACATAAAGTGAATCTTTGTTTATTTAAGATGGTAGTAATACTTTTTTACACCAAGCAACGGGAACATACTCAGCTCTGGACTTATCTATATATTTTCTCATTCTTTTTAGTGTCAAAATTAATAGTTTGGCTAAAGTTCAAATGACAACATCGACGGTTTCTGGTGTCCCCTGGTGTGATATTGCGGGAATATTGCTAAAAGCGGCGTAAAACCATACTCACTCATTATTCGTATATGATTTAAACATGTGTTGTGTTACCAACATTAACAGCATTTAAAGACAAATGCAGCTTTGTCTTAGTAAGATTCACAAGTGGTGCCTGGAAAACGGTTTTAGGTTTCCCAAAGCAAAACCAGGTTGTGTCCATTTTTGTAACAAAAGTATAATGCACAATGATCCCGAGCTGTTCTTGAATACAAATCCCAATACAGTTGTAACAGAAACCCAGTTCTTAACCATTACATTAAATCATAAACTGTCATCAACGGAGATGATATGATTTTTTTAAGAATGTGGCACTAATACGCTTCCATACAATTGATATTACTTTTAAATTGTCCACTTAACATTAAACCCGTTTGGATTCCTATGCTAGTCCGACTAAATGGATCGAGTGGTCAGACTCGGAATCTTACTAGACTGCATGTCATCGTATGTTATTTACGTTTATTGATGGTCATGATGTCAATCACTAGATAGTCTGGCTCAGACTTGTTTATGTAAAGGTCGCCATAATATAGCTTGATTTTTTAGCGTGGCGTTAAACAACAACCATGATGTAATGTTTACATGTTAAACACAGCAAATGTAACTGAAACGGACATAAAATATTCACCAAAGGCGTTCCTACACTAATTTTCAAATGATATACGAGTATTCACCACCTGAGTTGAAGTGAGAGGGGTAATGTCAGTAGCTTGAAAATAATTAATCATTTAACAGAGGTCATATCGCAACCACCTGCCACCAACTGCCCATCAAACCAGATCAAAACTATTTTGATAACAAATATTAAGCACAAACAACGTGGATGTCAACAATAGACTTAAAATACTTTGTTCATACCTCACGAAAATTCCTTGCCAACCGATTTGTTTGTATGTTGTTTAACGCAGCACTCAGCAATATTCCAGCTGTATGAAAATAATTCTGTAAATAATCGAGTGAGGAACAGACAATCTAGTGATTGACATCATGAACATCGATCAACGCAATTGGGATACATTGACTTGCATCAACCAAACCAGTGAGCCTGACCGCCCGATCCCGTTAGTCCCACGACAAGCATAGTCGCCTTTTACAGCAAGCGTGGGTTGCTGAGGACCTATTCTGATTAGCTGACGCCTCTTTTACATAACCTAAGACCCCTTTTACTATAGGGTCATAAAAATGTGTTATTACTAATTTACTTAATTCATTGATTTGCAGAAATACGTTTGAATTTCTTTCTCCTAGGCGAAGTAAAAGACGTTTAAGAAAACGTCGGCCATTTTGAAATCCATGTAGACCAATATGGCCGACGAAAATGTGTAACCAATGGATTTCTTTATATCAACCTTGCATCGAGAATTGAAAGAACACAAAAAAATCGGAATTTTAGCAAATTGTTATAACGCCGAAGACATTGTATAACGGACTTACTTCAATCTTCAGCTTTTTTTTTGCACCAGTAGGTTACGGGTGAAGGGATGAAGACAAATCCGATTCCGCAAAAAAGATAACCCGACACTTGAAACCGAAAAGAAAATTGGTTCACTTTGGGGCTAAAAGTTACATTTATACCAGATCTGATGGATTATTGATGTATTTTGTGTCATTTGTTACTGTCGATTCTAAACGGATTAAATGTGCATGCGTTAATAAATAATGTCCCGAAAGAAAATCCTTTTTCTCGACTCATTCTAAGGCTATTTTACTATTCCCCATCGACATGTGTTTATTAAAAAGCGAGAGTTAGAGAATCAGCTCGCTTTGCAGAGGTACTTTGTACACGACCAACCCACACAACAACACAAGACCTGAATGGATAAACAATTTATTAGACAGCCACGGCTTCTTATTATAAATAGTCAACAATTGAATGCTTAGTATCAATTACTGGTATTAGAAAATGTTTATAATCAGTTATAGAAGTACATCTATGCGAAGCGTTTATACAGCTGTTTATCGTCCACGCCTACCACTATACATTCGTGGCATACTAGCAACTGGTGAGCTATTCTTACTAAACTTCACTCATAAACACCTTTATCATCAATGCTTCGGTTAAACTAAATTATATAATTATGTCGCGATAACGCCACACAGCAACTTTATCGTCAGTTTAATCAGTAAATGAGATCATCTGTAGTAGCTAGAATAGGTATTACTACGTACGACAGACAGTCACAAATCATTATAAACTGAATTCACTCATGTAAGAAACATCTCTTATACCATGTTAAATCTTAACTATATGCTATTACCCTTGGCTATACTTGCAAGTCTATTTGGCAACTGAAAATGTCATAGTCGTGTGTATATCTTAGATATTCCCATTGTACTACTGCTGTAAATAGATTATACCAACTATGTCATCTGTATTACGTTGTTTACCTTCTTTGTTTGTTGTTTAACGCCGCACTCAGCAATACTGCAGCTATATGACGGCGTTTGTTAACCTTCTAGAATGAGTGAGTGGGTGAGTGAGTGAGTGAGTGAGTATATATATATATATATATATATATATATATATATATATATATATATATATATATCAGCGAGAACAATAATCAGTGAGTGATAACAGAGGAGTGAGTGAGTGAGTTGGGTTTAACGCCGCTTTTAACATTATTCCAGTCATATCACGGCGTGTCAGCTTAATGTGAGAGGAAAGTCCGAAGTGATGCAGGTCTCAGACGTTTACCACTTCGATGAAACCCACGAGCACGGGTATGGTGCTGACAAACCTAGAAACATAATCTGGGCGAACCGGGATCCGAACCCACAGCTATAGGTTTCTGGCGTGCCCAAGGGACGCAACTCTTGCACAGCGAATCGCGGCGCCTTAGACGACTGGGCCACCCGACTGGGTTTCAACAAGCTTATAGATATGTCCTGAGTCCTGATCTCAGACAAGTAACACACGCATTTCATTGTCAACACAGTAGAGGCCGTTATATAGGTCTTCAGCAACCCATGCTTGCCCAAAATGGCGACTATGCTTGTCGTAAGAGGTGACTAACGGGATCGGGTGGTCAGGCTCGCTGACTTTGGTTGATGCATGTCACCGTATCCCAATTGCGTGGATCGATGCTCATGATGTCAATCACTGGATTGTTTGGTCCAGACTCGATTATTTACAAACCGCCGTCATATAGCTGGAATATTTCTGAGTCCGGCGTTAAACAACAAACGTAAAGTAAAGTAACGTTAGACTTAAGTACAGAGTATACACAGGCGTTGGCCATTCTCCACACTGTCCTAATTACCATTTTCAACATAGAGCTTTGAATTACTGCGTGTAAATCCAAAAAGAACTAGTATCAAGGGCCTAGAGATATCAGAACATTAATATCTGCCGACGTTTTAGAATGTTAGAAAACTTGTATTTTGAGTGGCCTAACTGTGGATGATGGCGATCCCTAGCCCAGTTTGAAATAGTCATATATGCTATATACTAGCATTACATAATCCCTGTAATATTCTAAGGGAGAGAATTTATGGATGTCAACTTCTTTATTATGAGGGGGGCACGGGTGGCCCAGTCGTCCAAGGCGCCGCGATTCGCTGTGCAGAGTTGCGTCCCTTGGGCACTCCAGAAACCTATGATTGTGGGTTCGAATCCCGGTTCGCCCCAATTATGTTTCTAGGTTTGTCAGCACCATACCCGTGCTCGTGGGTTTCACCGAAGTGTTAAACGTCTGAGACCTGCATCACTTCGGGCTTTCCTCCCACATTAAGCTGGCACGCCGCGATATAACTGGAATACTGTTAAAAGCGGCGTTAAACCCAACTCACTCACTCACTTTATTATGAGGAACACAACGTTTCGGAATATATGCTTCCTCCTTCATCAGGTGTATGAATGCTCTCTGCCTCATAGTATTCATTCACCTGATGGAGGAGTAAGCATATACTCCGAAACGTTGTGTTCCTCATTATAAAGAAGTTGACATCCATAAATTCTCTTCCTTATGTGTATCACTTCTAAATGCCGTTCAAAGACTTGTAATAATCTAGTTATTAAACTGGCCGGGTTTTTAGATATTGTTGGTTTACAACTTGTGATAGTCACGATATTGCTGAAATACCCTTTATGTGAGTTTCACTTTTATCTCTCACTCACTCTGAGACAGTAAGACAGAATACATGTAACAGCTGATCACTTTATTTATCAACAATTTAACCGACGTAGCTGTTGATCCAGGAAATGAACTCGGAGACGCGCGTGTAGACGCTTGGGTAGTCTCCTCCGCACGTGCTGATGCCCCATGACGTCACACCAACCAGAACATCAGCCTGGCCACTTGATCTGATGATCATGGGTCCACCACTGTCACCCTGGCAACAGTAACCATTGACGACATCTGTTTAGCTGATACACGTAACAGTGAGTGTGTATGGTTTTACGCCGCTTTTAGCAATATTTCAGCAATATCGCGGCGGGGGACAGCAGAAATGGGCATTGTACCCATGTCGGGAATCGAACCCGGGTTTTCGGCGTGACGAGCGAACGCTTTAACCACTAGGCTACTCGACCACCCCTGATACCCGAAACATGCCTACCGATGTAAAAATATATTTTAATCTGTAGCTGGCATAGTTTGGTTCACGGCACCAAACAAGTTGCACTTACTATCTATTGTTTTACCGTCCTTTCTCGATAGGTTTTTAGTAACGATTTACTTGTTCTAATCGCTTTTTAGCCCAAATATTCCGGATGCGATGTAAAAAGGTTACCAACTACAGTAAACTACGGTTATAACGAACTCAAAGGGACTACTAATTTTAGTTCGTTATAATCGTAGTTCGTTATAAGCATATATACAGCATGACTACAGCAAATTGTCGGGACCAAAAAGTAAGTTCGTTATATACGTCAGTTCGTTATAAGCGTGTTCGTTATAACCGTAGTTTACTGTAATTCTTTTTGGAATGTCCCTCAGTAGAGAGTTAGTGAGTTAAAATTTAACGTCACATTGGGAATATTTCATCCACATCGTGACGAGTGAACCTCTCAGTGAAGCTTTCAAAAGGATTTATGGTACACATGTGGAGGACATTTCCAATTTTGACGCTTCAGTGACATAAATGATGTCATAAGCAGTTCCCATTTTGACTTGTAAGTGAAAATGATTTGAATTTCCACGTGTTTGTGACGGGTGCCTCCGCTGAGGCAGGATACGCTAATCTTTTCACAAAAACACGGTATCATGACCATTTCATAGTGGTTCATAAACACATGATCACGATTTAGTCGGAATCATAGGGAAGACTCTGCTTTTAGTAGAGATTTTTTTAAAGTTATTGAAATGGTTTTGTCACTCTTATTAAGAAACATGCCGAAAAGAAAAATGTTCTTTATATTTTGATTTTAATATTTGTATCATTTTGCATTGGCGAACTGCATACCCGCATTTAAGTAATAAGAAATGCTTGATAAGTCCTATATAAACCTAGAATTTATACACAAGACGAAACCCGAAAGGGTAACTCACATTGCAAGCTGAAGCCTGTTGACTGCTGTCGTAGATGCAGATGTGTTGGTCGTTGATGCTGGCTCCGCTAACGGGGGCCCACCTCTGGGTGCATTCAGCGTTTGATATCTTCTGCATGGTGACCTCTTGCAGCCGGTCTGGGAGCGTCCCACCCCCTGTGATAAAGATTAAACATTACAGAAGTCAAGGTAGACACAGTTTTATGGATCACAACTTCTTTAATACTGTGAAACAGTCGACTCCTTCATCTCTGACTCCACGGACTTCTGCTCCAAACTCAAGAACATCACCGATCCAGATCAAATCATCAGTTACGACGTAGCAGAACTCTTCACCAACGTACCCATAGATGGCACTCTGCAAATCCTCCGCCGTCGCATCACTTACACTCCCCTTGCCACGGCAGCCATATTGAAAAATCTATTTTTGGTCATTATTCGACCAATTCTCACACCTAATGCAATGAAATTTGGTATGTTGATTATTTGTGGGGGATTCATCACTTGTCACGTGTTCTTTGCAAGACGTTTTAACTTTACCCTTGTTCTGACCATTCTGTTATATTCTCGCAAATACATATTTGCCCGTGTAAACTTTTTCTTTAAAATTGACAGACTGAGGGAGCTGAACTTTGGCACATATGTTTCTCCTTACGATGACGACCACCTCCGTGGTCTAGTGGTAGAGCGTCCGCCCGGAGAGCGGAAGGTCCGGGGTTCGATCGACGGCCGCGTCATACCAAGAGACGTTAAAATATGGTACTTGTTGTTACCCTGTCTGGCGCTCGGCATTAAGGGGCTAAAACAAGGACTGGTCGGCTTGGAGTCAGTATACTCTATTTGAGTGGGGTATTCATGTTAAACTGCGGCATGGAAACGGCATCTCAGTGAGCTAGCACTATAAATCGGCATCAGTCCGGACTAGTACAAGCAGCCACACACACACGTGCATGCACGTCGCATTATAAGTGCAATAATCTTGGACGCGATGTTAAACCCAATTTCACCTCACCTCATGATGACATATTTTGTTCAAATCATTAAATTTATGTTTATAAAGAAAATATTTGAATAACAATGCAACATTTTAGACAGTTGACTTCCACATTTAGGTGAGCTACAAAGCCTGGACACTATTGTTTATGTTTACTACGAATATGGCTGTATTTGACTGATCTGTGACAACATGCTGAGGTTGTAACTCGCCATATTCGGTTTTACCAAAGTGATACATCAAAGAGATGGATCATTTCGAATTTTCTCTCAATAAAGCTGGACCGCCTCCGTGGTCTAGTGGTAGAGCGTCCGCCCGGAGAGCGGAAGGTCCGGGGTTCGATCCCCTGCCGCGTCATACCAAAGGACGTTAAAAGATGGTACTTGTTGTTACCCTGTCTGGCGCTCGGCATTAAGGGGTTAAAACAAGGACTGGTCGGGTCGGAGTCAGTATACTGTGTCTGAGTGGGGTATTCATGTTAAACTGCGGCATGGTATCTCAGTGGGCTAGCACTATAAATCGGCATCAGTCCGGACTAGTACAAGCAGCCACACAAACACACACACGTACATGCACGTCACTATGTAAGTGCAATAATCTTGGACGCCACGTTAAACCCCATTCCACCACCACTCAATAAAGCTGACACGCCGTGATATAACCGAGACGACGTTCAAAGCGGCGTTAAACTCACTCATTCGAAGAAACGATTTTTAACAATGCTGCAGCTTCATCTTAATTACCGACGGTCCTTCCCCATCCGGAAATGATGACGTCCTGGCCCTCGTAGGAAGCGCCCTCTGGAGAGATATCGATCAGCTGGACAGTGCTGGAGATGGTGGCAGCACTATTCAGTTCCAACAAGGCGATGTCGTTGGGGTAGCCGGCTGCGTTGCCGTTGTAGCCAGGATGCTGAATAGGATAAACAAGAATGAAATAAGTGTATCCCCCACCAATTGTACGTTCTGTTGAATGCAGGACTCAAGCCCTGACGACAATTTGTTGTCATGGAGACCCGAAAAAATACAACTTTCAAGAGTTCCTAAATTGCAAAAGGCACCAGTTCATGACTACTTTATTTATTTTATGAAGTTTTAATGAAGAGGGGCGGTCGGGGAGCCTAGTGGTTAAAGCGTTCGCTCGTCACTCCGAAGACCCGGGTTCGAATCCCAACATGGGAACAATATGTGAAGCCCATTTCTGGTGTCCCCCGCCATGATATTGCTGGAATATTGCTAAAAGCGGCGTAAAACCATACTCACTCACTTACTTTAATGAAGAAATATTGAACGGTATTTGAGTTGATCCATGCTCCGGAAACAAAACGTGACGAGCGGTGAGCACGCATTCCTGTATGTACATCCAACAATCAGGTGGCAGCCATGACTGTTATATAAATGTTGTTCGATTACTTGTCAGATCGGTTGTTCATCCCTTCGTCATTCACAGTTGTGACACAAATAAGACATTCATTCGCTGAGAAGAGTTGCGTCCCTTGGGCACGCCAGAAACTTATGAGCGAGGGTTCGAATCTCGATTATGATTTTAGGTTTGTCAGCACCATACGGGTGCTCGTGGGTTTCACCGAAGTGGTAAACGTCTGAGACCTGCTTCGCTTCGGGCCTTCCTCCCACATCAAGCTGACGCCATGATATAACTAGAATACTGTTAAAAGCGGAGTGAAGCACAACTCACTCACTCAAAGAGTGGTGAATACACAAACGAGGTGAGGTTAGGTGAAATTGGGTTTAAAGTCGCGTCCAAGATTATTGAACTGATATAGTATGTACTAGTCCGGACTGATGCCGATTTATAATGCTAGCTCACTGAGATACCATGCCGCAGTTTTACATGAATACCCAATGAGGACACAGTATACTGACTCCGAGCCGACCAGTCCTTGTTTTAACCCCTTAATGCCGAGCGCCAGACAGGGTAACAACAAGTACCATCTTTTAACGTCTTTTGGTATGACGCGGCCGGGGATCGAACCCCGGATCTCCGCTCTCCGGGCGGACGCTCTACCACTAGACCACGGAGGCGGTCTGAATACACAAACGAATGGCATGCTTGTCTGAGTGTCCGCCCTTGTTGTTTTCACCACAGTGGTAAACGTCCGCGACCTGAATCACCTGTGGCTTTCGTGTAACTAAGCTGTAGTGATAAAACTGAAGAACTATTGGAAACTACATTGACTTTCGCCATTACCTATACCTGTCACTAGCGCCACCTACCGACCCTACGGACGTGACACGTGTCTTTAGCGCCACCTAGCGACCTACCATGACAACTCTCCTGACTCCGATCCTCTGCTCTCCTGACTCGCTGCTGCTAAGACTGTGTTCCCCTAACTGGACTCTCAGGGAACTTGAGCTGAAACAGAGTGTCAACAATAACATGACCATCATGTCACCATTCGTCACCACTCGCCCCTTTCCGTAACCTGCAAGAAGACTCGTCCCCTATCGATGAATGTTATGTGCGAAAATACGACAAACCAATCAGCCTGCGAGTATGACTTCAAGTACTTCGGTCAAATAATCCCTAAGAAATAAGCATATTTGCTACCGAGAATGTTTGCTCATTGTTGAACCAAATCAATTAATTCTTCCAACATATCTTCAGTCCAAAATAGTTGGCTCATTTTGACTTGCACTTCCGGTTGAAAAGGGGTAAATGTTCCATGCATTCTGATTGGCTAAATTAAATGGACGTCATCAACTTCGATCAAAGTTTGACGAGATATAGGATCGGTTTCTATTCCATCAAAGTCCGTCAAAAACTTCGTCAAAGTTTTTGACAGCATGTTACACTATCACAAACTTGGTCCAAGTTTTTTATCAAAGTTGTTAATAGTGCAACGGGGGCTTGACTGCACCGATATACGTTCCCCTGTGGGTAATATTCAAATGTACCTGGCGCCGTCCACGCAGTGCGCGGCAGTGAGACACCATGACGGAGAAATCAGGCTGCATCCGCAGCTGTGGGACCAGAAGATGCCCAGGGTGGCTCGCTGGAGGGAGGCGATGTACGGGTGGCTGTGGGGGGCGGCCTCGGAACCACCCACGATACGGGAGGTTGGGTGGGCTGAAAGCAGATAATAATAGCTGGGAGCAGCTCAAAAGTTCAAGGGGCGGTGGGGAAGCCTAGTGGTTAAAGCGTTCACTCGTCAAGCTGAAGACCCGGGTTCGATTCCATCATGGGTACAATGTGTGAAGCCCATTTCTGGTGTCCCCCACCGTGACAGTGCTAGAATATTGCTAAAAGCGGCGTAAAGCCATACTCACTCACTCAAAAGTTCAATGTCGCATAAAAAGTTAATTTCTTTATACAGACTTTTTAATACTAGTTCATGACGGCATTGGTGTGTGTTGATCTTAGTCCACAACCCAAACTGCCATGTTTCTTTAAACTTTTTTTTAGGTGTATGTGTGTTGATGTCTGTCTTTTGTATTTTTATCAGATATCGAACTTTTGAAATGCCTGTCCAACCGGTGATCTACGTCCCACACAGCTGGGTGTTCTTCCACGCAGGCAACGACAGTCCGTTTGACTCCAAATGAGAACGATGTTTCATACACTTTTCTGGATTTCGAGTTATTTTGCAATTCATTTGGAACATACGGAACGTTCACAGTGCCACACCACTCGAACATTATCTAAAGCGGTTCTTCACAGGTAAGCTATTCTCACCTGGCACACCGACGGTACATTTGAGAAGGTATTCCAGCAATATCACGGCGGGGGACACCAGAAATGGGCTTCACACATTGTACCCATATCGGGAATCGAACCCGGGTCTTCAGCGTGACGAGCGAATGCCACTAGGCAACCCGATCTCTCCCCTCGCAATTGGGAAACGATGACATGCATCAACCAAGTCAGCGAACCTGACCACCCTTAGTCGCCTCTTACGACATGCATAGTCGCCTTTTACAGCAAGCATGGGTTGCAAAAGACCTATTCTAACCCGGTAGTTATCTTAACGAGTAAAACGTTTTGTGTAACAGTAAATATTCATTTTTGCAGAGACTGTCATTTATAAGGGACCGCCTCGGTGTTCTAGTGCATCTGCCCGGGGAGCGGAAGGTCGGGGATATGATCCCCGGCGGCGTCAAACCAAAAGTCGTTGAAAGATGGTACTTATTGTTACCCTGCCTGCCGCTCAGCATTAGGGGCTAAAACAAGGACTGTTCGGCTCGGAGTCAGTAAACTGTGTCTGAATGGGGTATTCATATTTAATTGCGATAGGTATCTGAGTGAGGTAGCACTATAAAATAGGCATTTAGCCCGGACGTAATATAATGTAATAATTTAATGTAATAATGTACAGTAAAGTACGGTTATAACGAACTCAAAGGGACTACTAATTTTTGTTCGTTATAACCGTAGTTCGTTATAAGCATATATACAGCATAACTACAGCAAATAATCGGGACCAAAAAAGTAAGTTCGTTATATACGTCAGTTCGTTATAAGCGTGTTCGTTATAATCGTAGTTTACTGTAATAAGATACAATACCCCGGATAGTCGAGGGTGTAACGTGTGGTTTTGTGAACTAGTTATTGAATTCATGTTTAAGTCTTCTCCGGACAACTTGATTCCATGAAAAATACAACAACAAAAATCAAATAACAGAACTGAAAACGGTAACTCACCGGCGACCACAGATATCAAAGCGGCGAGAATTAGAATCATCGTGGCGACGTCGTTACTGCATGTAATGCTGTCTGGAGAAATATAAGCATCATTTATACACACATTTGGGAGACAAGGTGTTGCTTCCCATACGTTCTTCAATGGCTTGAGAACAAATCATATGTTGCAGAAACATTTGTAAGATTTATGAGTTTAAGGCCCATTTAGACGCAACGAACATTGCGGTTGTCGTAAATTCCATATTTTTAATAATTTCGACATGGGCTCCCTAACGTAGCAGCTCTACGGACTTGCTCCCTGTAACACACGTCGCGATATGTTCATCAAATAATGTTGTGTAGGAGGGGGAGAGAGAGAGGGAGAGAGGGGAGAGAGAGAGAGAGAGAGAGAGAGAGAGAGAGAGAGAGAGAGAGAGAGTGAGAGATCCTTTCTCAGATAGTTTGACTGCCAACGACATATTACATTTGCTTTTCAAAAAGGGGAGTGTCCGGACCGCCTGGACTCTATTCCCGCACCCGCACCCGCACCCGCACCCCCACCCCCACCCCCACCCCCTCTGGTTCTGCCTACGCGGAGGGAGTGGGGAAGGAGGTATATCACTTCCATTTCTAGTGAAGCTAATAGTCACATCACAGAGAGTATGGCTGACGCTACATTACCAACAGTCACCTGCAGAACGGAAGTGAACGGAGCTGTAATACTGTCCTCCTATTGTATTTTTCTTGTTTTGTTTTATTCTCATGTAATTTATTCAAGTCAAAAGAATGTAGCCATATTTGAGTTCACGAGAGAATTGATGCCTTTGAGACGAATGGAGTGGGGTGGAGTGGGGGTTAACGTGCACGCGTTGCTGCTTCTGTAAGTCCGGACCTATGGTGCTAGCCTACTGAGACACAATATTGATGTTTGAGTGAGTGAGTGCCAGTTATACCACGGTGTGTAAGAGGAGGACAGCCCGAAGTGATGCAGATGTCAGACGTTTACCACTTTGATGACAAAACTAGACACATAATCGGGAAAAACGGGATTCGAACTCACATTTATAGGTTTCTTTCGTGCCAAAGGGACGTAACCCTACACGAATTGCGGCGCCTTAGACGACTGGGTCACCCGTGCGCTCGTTTAACATTTACGCGCCACAGACTCATTGTTCGGACAAGTGCTTGTGATATTCCCTTAACGCTAAGCGCCACGTTGGCCAACAGCAAATATATTCTTTTAACGTCTTTGCGTCCCTTGGGCACGCCAGGAACCTATGATTGTGGGTTCGAATCCCGGTTCGCCCCGATTATGTTTCTAGGTTTGTCAGCATCATACCCGTGCTCGTGGGTTTCACCGAAGTGGTAAACGTCTGAGACCTGCATCACTTCGGGCTTTCCTCCCACATTAAGCTGACACGCCGCGATATAACTGGAATACTGTTAGGGGCGGCGTTAAACCCAACTCACTCACTCACTCTTTTAACGTCTCTTGGCATAACACGACCAGGGGATCGAGTCACCAATCTTCCGTTCTCTGGACAGACGATCCCCTTTTAAATTCTGTCTATATGATGATAGGTGAAATGTAATGGGGTTTAACGTCGCGTCTAAGATTACTGCACCTAGATAGCGACGCGCATACACGTGTATGTGTGACTGCTTGTATTAGTCCGGACAAATGCCGATTTATAGTGCTAGCCCCCTGAGACGTGTCAGCTTAATGTGGGAAGAAAGCCCGAAGTGGTGCAGGTCTCAGACATTTACCACTTCGGTGAAACCCACGAGCACGGGTATGATGCTGACAAGCCTAGAAACATAATCAGGGCGAACCGGGATTCGAACCCACAATCATAGGTTTCTGGCGTACCAAAGGGACGCAACTCTGCACAGCGTATCGTGGCGCCTTAGACGACTGGGCCACCCGTGTCCCCCTAATGAAGATTAAAGAGTAGTTAACTAATCACCATGAAACGCAATACCTTTGTGCTATAGCCTTTGTTCGAGAATATTGAACTGATGAAATTTGATTTAGGCTAATGGCAATATGATTCCGCCAAGAAATGATGATGTTAGCAGCTGTGAAGCTGGGGTGATGAGTGTAGCGTATAGCGTTAGCTCTATAGTAGTGTGCCTGCACCTCGTCGACACATTATCTACATCAATGAATATCTTGACGCTCTAAGAGTTAACTATCAATAGTTGTAAAATCATAAATCTGTCATGGTGACAGAGGAGTCCAGCTGCATCGTTTGGCCTCTTCCCATACGAGTGTCAAATGGTTCACATGACCCGGCCACGTCGTTGTAATGACGTTGTAATGACGTGGAAGCTGATCACGTGGCCATGCTGGAGCCGCCACGCCAAGGGCGAGTGTACTAAACGCAGTGACGTTGCAGGAGTTGTCGGTTTGGGTAAAATTGTTAAAGGCCCTACGCATCATCATACCGGGACGACCGCCTCCGTGGTCTCAATCCCCGGCCGCGTCATACCCAAAGACGTTAAAAGATGGTACTTGTTGTTACCCTGTCTGGCGCTCGGCATTAAGGGGCTAAAACAAGGACTGGTCGGCTCGGAGTCAGTATACTGTATCTGAGTGGGGTATTCATGTTAAACTGCTGGATGGTATCTCAGTGGGCTAGCACTATAAATCGGCATCAGTCCGGACTAGTACAAGCAGCCACACAAACACACACATTTGCATGCACGTCGCTATATAAGTGCAATAATCTTGGACGCGACGTTAAACCCCATTTCACCTCACCTCATACCGGGACTTTACAGGAGGACTCACATGGGGTCAGTTGGTAGTCTTGCAAATTTCAAACCAACTTGCATTAAGCCAAGCATGTAACACGTACGTTAGTCTAGCAGTTGATGATTACGTTAATAAGACTCCGACTACGTCTTGGGCATGGGTAGAGCAGTTGTCTAAGACGCCGAGTGGCGATCCTTTATTAAGAAACTTATAGTCGTGATCTGCCTGATTTTGGGTGATGTTTTGTCCCCCATCATACCCGTGCTTGTCGGTTTCATCATGGCGGTGAAGTGAAGACCTGCATCACTTCAAACTCACTCACTCACTCACTCACTCACTCACTCACTCACTCACTCACTCACTCACTCACTCACTCACTCACTCACTCACTCGTAAGTGGTTCGATCCCCATCCCGCGTAGTACCAGAGACGTATTTCAAACCGGGACCAAGAGATGTACGGATCTTAATTTTAGTACCCATTTTAAACAAGTACATCATGGATTGGAACATTTAATTCTCCACGACAACTGTGTTAGGGTTTTAATTCATATAAAATTTAATGAAATATGCAATTATACCCCCCGTTGCTCCATCGAGCAAGGGATGTTTGTTGTATAACGCCGCACTCAGCAATACTCCAGCCATATGACGGCGGTCTGTAAATATCGAGTCTGGACCAGATAATCCAGTGATTGACATCACGAGCCTCGATCCACGCAAACTTATATATCGTCGTTTTAAGCAGGACTATATTGTTATGAGTATACATATCACCCGCCCTGTGCCCCGAGCCTATAGAGCACCCAAGAGCGCCCCAGGGCGCCTCGTCTTGGTTTAGATGTGACACCCCTTCTGCCCGAACTGGAGACGGTATACTAGTATAGTATTAAGAGCCTCGTTTGGCGGGGGTGTTTTTAGTGTCTCAATGTTGTTGAAGATGGATGCCATGTTACGTTACATTGTCCAGTGTATAATGTTCAGCGGCGTAGTGTTTGTGAGTTTCCCAAAAGCGGTAAATCTGCATCACTTCGGGCTTTCCTCCAACACACCAGGATATAACTGAAGTACCTCTCAAAGCGGCGTTAAACCATATTCACTCAGTCTTTGCGTCATCTCATTGACTCTCCCATCCCGTCATCCCATCCCATCCCACTCTCACTCTCACAGAGTAATATGAAGGAACTTAATTGTTTTGTATTCTGAAATGTGCGTCCTGCATCCTCATCCTTTGATCTGTGACAGTGCAGAGTTGTGTCCCTTAGGCGTGTCAGGATCTTGTATTCGAGGTGAACGTGTATGACCTGCATCACGTTGAGTATCGCGCCACATCATGCTGAAATACTTATAAAATAGGATATAACCCAACCAAGTCAATACCTCATCAATCCGTTGCCAGTCTGATTTACACATTAATTATAACTGACTGCGTAGACAATGCGTTCAGTAGTATGACGTGATCTAAATGTAGACGTGTTTAAACGAAGATCAAAGCCACATTGCACAAGGGTTATTTTTATGAGATAGTTTCAGGGTTTTTTAAAACCTCTATGTGCCTGTATTCGTTCTGTGATATTTGAATGAAATGGTATGTGAAGTTTATAATCAAGATTTTTTGACAGATTGATGAAGGAGTTTACTTAGGTCATAAATATTTGTAATTACCTGCAAATCGATGCGGCTAAAAACAATATTGTCACTTTTATTACCTCAAACAGTATAAGGTTATTGCTGTGAATTAGCAATATGTCTGCGAATTATAGACATTATGAAAGTCTTGCGCGTAAAGAAAACAAGAGCGCTGTCTAAAAAGAATAGGTTCCATTTAATGTCTGAAACATATGGCAATACAGTTCAGACGATGTATCAAACTGGGCATCTTTTCATAACCCTCTCGACGATGTTGCAGCGCGTTATCACGTCTCTTTCTGTCAGACACGTTCCAGTTGCATATGTTCCTTGATATGAGAGTAGCAGATCTGTTAAGTAACAGACACTTGTATCATGAATAGAGTTGGCACTAGCAGACTTCCGTAAGTGCTTACTTAACGTTCATTGCGCTTGACAGAGGGTTCCATTGACTAATACGCATGGTGATTAATAAGAGCAGACTTTGCGGTATCATCTCAAGCCTGTTATCATACTTTAGTCTGAGACATTACGGGGACCCTAGAGACGTAAGCTGAGGAATTCACTTGGTACATATCACGTGACTGTCCGTTCACTTTCGTCCAATCCCTGCAACGCTTAATTTATCCTGTCGCTTTTCCTTTGCAAGAACTCTTGTCCAAACAGCCATCAGCTCATTGTAGCACTCGTACTCGGAGATGTCGGGAGGGCAGTTCATACCGTTCAGACTATTCCTGCCTTGCCGAGTACTGATTGTGACACCTGCAATACAATGTTTACACAGTTAACATGAGTTTCTCAAACAGTTTGTTTGTTTGTTTGTTGTTTAACGCCGCACTCAGCAATGTTCCAGCTATATGACGCCGGTCTGTAAATAATCGAGTCGGGGCCAGATAATCCAGTGATTGACATCATGAACATCGATCTACGCAACTGGGATACCATGACGTGCATCGACCAAGTCAGCGACCCTGACCACCCGATCCCGTTAGTCGTCTCTTACGCTAAGCATAGTCGCCTCTCACGACAAGCATGGGTTGCTGAGGACCAATTCTAACCCGGAATCTTCACGGGACTTTCTCAAACAGATCACTTCCGGTGAATGCCGTGAGAATGAGCTACAAATGTGAAAAGGCTTTGGTTAAAGGGCTTTATTGATGAAATATTTTGAAGGTATTAAAATGAATTTAACATGCTTTTTATGGACTTTAGATTTAATTGGGTGAAACTGAAAAAAACATAGATTATTATACGGGCACGTGCGTCATACTGATTTTAATCAAGAATTGTCTTTCACTTTGTGTGAGTTCATTGCAAGCTCTGATGTTCATACAGTTTGGCCCTCACTCTATGAAGGTTCATACTCCAATGAACTCACAAAAAGTGAAGGTCAGTTCTTATAATTTATTATCACATTACATTTGTATTTTCTTACATCAAAGGATGTAGGCCTAGATCTTTACACATTTTCATTGAGTATGTGTGACTTCATGTTTACACTGACAGCCATACAACAACCAGTTGTATTGTGGAATAAAATAGTTCCTCGTTAGGAGAGGTGACATGAGCGTACGTATGCAGAACTTGCTCTTCAGAAACATCTTACACAACACGTCTTCAAATAATATCACCATTAGATCAGAAAGGTCTGTTAAGAACTACGTCTGTAAGTCAATCACAATGACAGCGCGTCGTAATATATGTACATCAAGTACAAGACGTCAAAATGGCTGACACGTGACGTGACGTGAAAGATTTAGGAAGTTGTTTTTGAACCTGTGGCGGTTACATGTTTTAGTCATCATTGATCAACTAGCCGATCATAGAAAGGTGATTAAAGATGTGCCATATAGACACTAAGGTAAATTCATAGATTACTATATTTCTTCGTTTTGTTCACTGGGATGGGTCGTAGCGAGGATATTCGTGAACGATCATGCAGTCAAACCCTCTGACGTTTCTCTATGCACACTAAAACGCTGAGTACAAGATTAAAGTGTCTAAATGATCAGAAAGAACGCTTCTGTATGTATTTGTACAAGGGAATTCCCAGGGGTTCCCCAGGAATGTGGAAGTAGTCCGTCAGTGTTTACGTCTGGACGTCAAATTGTGTCATTCATACACTTATGAACGTCAATTTCGCGGTCATGTGACCGACCTCTCGTCCAATGAAAAAGCCGTATATCGTGCAAACTTCAAAAAAGAAAATTATTACATGATAACACGTGAATTCTCCTCGAGTCTTAGAAAACCACAAACAGAGAGCCATCATGTACATGTAGATACCGACATATAATATGAATTATTCCATAGGGTGAGTTAGTGAGTGAGTGAGTTGGGTTTTACGCAGATTTTAGCAATATTCCAGTAATAACGCGGGGAGGACACCAGGTTTGGGATACACACATTGTACCGATGGCGTGACGAGCGAACGCTCTCACCACACGGCTACTCCATGCATCCTTACCTCACAGAGGTTGTGGCATGTACAATCGCGATGCTAAAACCTGATGAATACAAATACAACACACATTACCTTTCTGCCGCATTTGTGAATGAGTAAAAGCGACAAAACCTTTTCTAACTTATAAAAACTTCTGCTAAAAGCAGAGTCGATAGTACGATTCCGAGCTTAAGTTTATGAATCGCTTTAAATAGTGATGACACCAGGTGTTCGCGAAAGGTTCGGGCATGACACATTTGGGGACAAAGTCCGCTTCTGGAACTATGGTTCATGCCACTTGAACTAGGATCACAATATATCGCAATGATTAATTAACGAAGATAGCGACATGTGTGCCAATGCTTACAAAATGAAAACAAGACATTCCGGCGATAAGGAATATTATCAAGTGGCGAGACCTGTGAAGATCCGGGGTAAAATAGGTCTTCAGCAACCCATGCTTGCCGTAAAAGACGACTATGCTTGTCGTAAGAGGCGACTATGCTTGTCGTAAGAGGCGATTAACGGGATCGGGTGGTCAGGCTCGCTGACTTGGTTGATGTCAATCACTGGATTGTCTGGTCCAGACTCGATTGTTTTCAGACAGCCGTCAAGTACATGTAGCTATAACATGGCTGAGTCCGGCGTTAAACAAAAATGAAAACAAGTGGACTTTAGTGCCATAGCTTGGATGTTTGTAGGAGAAAGGGCCATTGCATCGACACATACAGTTTTGTTTATCTGGACTTGGAGCTGCACAAATTATTATTTTCAAACTTTTTAGGACATCCAAGCATGTCAAGATAACAAGTAGTATTGTTTTCAAATTCTGCGGCAAAGTCCCCCCGTGGCGTGAACGTTTCTCCACTACCTCTCTGGTTTTGCTGGTTCGCACTTAATTATTTTGCGAAGAGCCATGGTGTAGCTGGAATATTGATTACTTTAACCAACCAACGAACATAGTAGAACATGTCAACCACGAGTTTTCTTATCCACATCTTTTAAGAAAATCATCTCGGGTAAATTGAGTGAGTGAGTTTGGTTTTTACGCCGCTTTTAGCAACATTCCAGCAATATCAAGGCGGGGGACACCAGAAATGGGCGTCACACATTGTACGCATGTCGGGATTTGAACCCGGGTACTCGGTGTGACGAGCGAATGCTTTAACCACCAGGCTACCCGACCGCCCCTCTCGGGTCAATGATGTGCAAACGTTCAAATAGTAGAACATGCTCCCTGATAGCCAAGCTTACCTATACGTTTATACCAATATATAGTTGAGTTGTCCAAACATAAAGTTGTTTAAATAAACACATTTTTTAAATATAAACACGTCGGTTAACTTTTAAAATAATTTGAAAAAATCTTTCCGTCATTTCTTAATTATTGCTTATCCCATGGACCAAGAAGGGCCTTTATCATACATTGGCCTTTGTGTGCTAGCTTAATATATTTCATTTACACCATCGGGGGATTCACCACGATAGTTTCCCATACTCCTCATCTTCAAGTTGCATTCATTTAGTTGTTACCACAGTTACTCACTGAAATAGTTTTGCAGTCCAGCAGTAGCCTGAAGGGGATATGAATAAAGTTGCATCATTACGTCCGTTAACTGAAACGCGGTTTCAACTTTCACGATGATTGGCAAAAGGAAACTTAAATTGTGAGATTACAAATTCCCCATTAAATCAGTCTTCAATCGGCATCGAATTTATTGCAAATTCGTTCAAAGAATATAAGTGATAAAAAAGGGATTACTTGAATAGATGGGTAATTTAAGCACAAGTTATTACTAATTATGTCCTAAAAATACATGTTATAAAACGAAATAACCATTAGCAGTAGTTAAATTTAGAAACCTACAACACACAGGTAGTATATACAAATCAACACTTAATAGACGGGGATTAAAGCGAGTGCTTTATGTTCAGACGTCTATTGCAGCTGTGGATGCATAGGCGGATCCGGGGGGGGGGGGGGGGGGGGGGTGGGGGGTGGGTGGGAGTGGAGGTGGGGATGGGGGGGGGGGGGGGGGGGGGGATAGGGGTTCCGGACCTCCTCGTCCCCCTTTTGCATTTTGGATTTGTGGGCAGTACGTTGTGCTGAAGAATGTGAAAAGTTACGTAATATATCAAAGGAAGGAAGAGGTACGACAAGTTTCTTTTTGGCGCTCATGAATGTCACATTGTTGGACTTACATCATACAGTCTTGTTTATTTGTTTGTTGTTTAGCGCCGCACTGTTACGACGTAAATTGAAATAAACTGCGGTAAAATGTAATACTGCGTACATTGTAATACATACTGCGGTAAATTGTAATAACTTCACTGCGGTAAATTGTAATATTTTCACTGCGGTAAATTGTAAAACATACTGCAGTAAATTGTAATAACTTCACTGCGGTAAATTGTAATAGAAACAGCGGCAAATTGTAATAACCCCTGCGGTAAATTGTAATAAAAGATTATTCATTTGCAAACATACAAATTTTACCTGCATGAAGTTTAAAATGTGCGACTAAGCTGTTTGGAAAGCGAAATCCGGACTTTGAAACGACTGTTGTACATTAAATTCTTGATATTTGTATTTACTCAGAACAGAATTCGAGTTCCAGTGTTTGTTCGACCTGAACAAGATCGATTCCAACCTCCAGCATGCTTAAGGAAATAGAAAAAGCGAATTTACTTCAATTTCTATCATTCGTATAAAAGAGGTGCGGCAAATTGTAACAAACTGTGTCAAACTGTGTCAGTCCTTCAACAAATAAATATTACACCCTCATGTCCAGTAAACATGAAAATATTTTAAAGAATCTTGCAATGTATATAAGTCTGCAAAACTAAGAAGAGCTGTCATGGAACAACATAACACTGTCTCTCTGTTGTAATATTATGTGATACAGGCCACTCATTCAACATACATAATTATATATGCTATCACTAAAAGCTCAGGTTATTAAACAAATAATAACTGCATCGTACTTGAATGTGTATTGCAAAAGCGTGTTAATATTATTTCTTCTTTTTTCACAAATGTAATTACGAATGGTAAGAGTGGGTAATGTTAGGTTCAAGATTTGAGAGTATATTAGACATTACCTATGAAGATCTCTGTCCTTCATGATCAGTATGGATAGAAAATATATTTCTCTTCCAGTAAATATATATCTTTGCTTAATTATGATGTGTTGATCACGAGTGGAGGACATTTCCCCACTCGGACAATTCACCATACTGGCGTTTCAACAAATGGGTTTTCCCCTAACAGAATAATAAAAATGATATAAAACAACAGACATGAAATTTTCAATACCTT